ACTGCAAACCAACGCCTTCAGCATCAGGGTCAACCATCAAGGCACCAATGGGCTTTCGGGCTTTAGAACCCGAGGCTTTGAAAGCAGGAAAACATGAACGAAAAGCGGCTGCTATGTCATCATAGTCCAAACTTCCCTGAGTCTTGGCTTTGATGATCGCTTTCTCTTGTTCTGTCAACCCTGCACAATTCAAAGTGATCCATCCTCTGGCAGCTTTGGGAAAATCTATATCAGCTTTTCTCCGGCATCGCTCAAAGGTCTCTTTGACATATGCCGTCCACTGTTTACTGCTCTCGCCTTCTGAGGCTACCAGCGAGAAAACTTCTCCCAAGGCTTCACCCATCTGATCATGCTTCTCTTTCTCTGGGAAGCGGTTGCGCAAGGCTTCCCAAATCTTCGTGTCGCCGTCCTCGACGGCAATCTCATCAAGAGACAGATGTTCCACAGTCTCATAGGCAGCTCCGTCCAGCAAGGTGAACAGCCAAGGACCCCTTTGATTGGACTTCAGGTCCTTCATAGTCATGCATTTGGCCAATGCCCAGGCCTTCCATCGTTTCAAATCCTTTCCAGGATCCTCCGCTTCACCGTTGAAGCGCTTCAGACCTTTGTCATCGCTCATCCATGCGGGCCCCAGGCAGGGCTCCGCTACCAATGACGATAGCGGGGGAGCCCCACCTGGGGCCCTCAGTGCGGTTCTTTTGCTCTGCCAGCGGGCGCTTCGGCCAAAAGGTCCGCTATGGATGAACAACCCTTGCAAGAACCCTGGAATTCACAGGAGGTAAAAAAAAATATATATATATATATACACACCTGTTCGTATATTTAAAAGTCCGTATATTTAAATGTAGTTACCATAACCCTACTGTGGGTAACAGGGAGGATGCGATGACGAAGCTAGTCACAGTGATTTTAGGTGCAGATGGAGCGCTGGAAACTGGGGTAAAACAACCAGCTCACTGGATTTGAGGAAAAATGTCCAACCCCTGTATTGGATGGTAAAAAACATGCAAAAACCATGATTTACGGACATTTACGGCTAAGATCTTCCCTTACACCAGCCCATTGAACCATGTACGGCATTTTACCGACCATGGGGATATCGATTTTGCCATCAAGATGCGGAGTTCAGCCAATTGGCAAATAAGAATTGCCTGAAACACATAGAAATACATAATCGAAGGAAGTTTAGAAGTCAAACTTCCGACAATATGGACAGATGAAAAGCAGAGCAGGGCAGAGGCAGAGAGAAGAGGAAGATTAGAAGAGAGAAGATCAGAAGAGAAAGAGTAAGAGGACAGAAGATACAGATGCGCGAAAAGGTAGGAAAGTCGCGAAACACTGCGTTTTTCCAATGATGTGTGGCTCCGGAGGGTCGAAAAGTAGGCTCGCTAAAGCGGCGGGTGCGGACCCAGCTGGCCACAGGAACGATGAAAAATTGCACGCCGTTGTGGCGCGAAGCACATTTCCAAGTCAAAATGTACAAAACACACCAGGTTCGGACCACTTTTGGAAGTTATGATGTCGAAAAAGTGCACGCCGTTGTGGCGCGAAGCACATTTCCAAGTCAAAATGTACAAAACACCTCAGCGTCGGACCACTTTTGGAAGTTCAGATGTCGAAAAAAGTGCACGCCGTTGTGGCGCGAAGCACATTTCCAAGTCAAAATGTACAAAACACACCAGGGGTTTCGGCCACTTTTGGAGTTTGCGATGTCGACTAAGTGCACGCCCGTTGTTTGTGGCGCGAAGCACATTTTCAAGTCAAAAGTGTTAAAAACTGACGGTCTCGGACCACTTTTGGAGGTTCAGATGTCGAAAAAGTGTCGAAAAAGTGCACGCCGTTGTGGCGCGAAGCACATTTGGAAGTCAAAAGTGTAAAAAACTGAGGGTTTTGCGCCTTTTTTTGACGTGCTGATGTCGAAAAAGTAGACACTGATTAACTTAACTAACTTGACTAACTTAAGGAACTTCACTAGCTTAACTACCCTAACTTCGACGACAACAGCAACAACAACAACAACAACAGCAACACCAACACCAACAACAACAACAACAACAACTACTACTACTACTACTACTACAACTACAACTACAACTACAACTACACAACAACTACAACTAGAACTACAACTACGACAACAACAACAACAACAACAACAACTACAACTACAACTACAACTACTACAACTACAACTACAACTACAATAGATCGATAGATGGAGAGATAGATAGATAGATAGACAGACAGACAGATAGATAGATAGCTAGGTACATAGATACATAGATACATAGATACATAGATAGATAGTCAGAGAAAGAGAGAGAAAGAGAGAGAAAGAGAGGTGACCTCAAGCACCTTTCGGTCCATCAGTGGCTTCGCTCTGCCATCCCTGATTCACAACCACCAACCTCTCCTATAGGTTTCCTATTTTTGAAACTTCCGCCACCGCCTTGTGCGGTACTACTGGTAGAGCTAGCTTTATTTGACGATAATTCGGAAGATCATACCATAAAGAGCCTGTTCTGTCTTTGATTGGTTAGTTTACATATAATCTATTGCTGTCGGGGATGAACTACAGAAGAAAAACGAGTGAATCCATGTTTATTATTCACCAACTGGGAGTGGCAACCATCCCACCTATTTTTGGTCATTTGCGGCTCCGGAGATTGACTGCCTTCTTTCCTCTGGGATTTTTCGCCATGCACGCGGCAACAGTATCGGGGGCAGAGGGAGGGTCGAGAATTTTGCGGTTCCGTGGACCCCCAGTTTTCGACCCATTCATGCCCTTGTAGCCCTTGGCAACCACAGTGATGCTGCCGCAATCCACAGGGCCTTCGCATGGGGGCTTAAGTATGGTTTATGGGTCCCCTCCGTCTGAGGAACGAAGTAAGGATGAACCCTTTATTCCTTAAGGTTTCTCTGTCTTTGGACACTTGGTGTTCAAAGACTTTTTGGGTAACCTGGAAATATCAACCTCTAAACTTCCGAACGTTGCGCGTCGCGTAGGACGGTACGCGAGGGTTACTGCAACAAACCTTTTTTCTTATTTAAGACCAAATGTCCAGTAACATGATGTCGTTTACAGAACCTGTGCCTTCTGGAACTTGGCAGTCTTCTGTTCTTATCAGTGTGAAACTTTTAATGTTTCAAGGTGACGTGCTGTTCTTTGGCAAGGATCTGTTCTTATCAATGTGACATCTATCTTACATGTGGGCATTTTGGTCTCAAGTGGCATCCCCCACGAAATTTTGTTCACCGCTTCATGCAGAGACGTGGCACTCCTGGACATCGTGGCGCCCTTGCTACGTCTTCCTGCATTGTCTTGGGCCATCCGGGATTACAACGGATCTCGAAGCAGCGTTCCCCACAGATGAAAAAAGGAGTTGCGTTTGATTCCCTCGTTCGTCGGCACTCATTTTGTTTTCCATGTTTTGCACGTGTATGTATATTGTACTTAATATATCAGTACGGAATAATATATGTACACTTTTCTGTGCGGATTTGTTTAACTTTTAAATTTGGTTGTGTTGCAGTAACGCGTAGCCGCGGTGGTTTCCAGGTTTCCCTTTGAAACCTATTGGAATAAGGTAGATATACCTATAGTATTCATGGGGTTTATAAAGCAACTCGTAACTGGTCCACCTTGTACCTGCTGGTTAACCCAACCGCAAATCGCTAACACCTATCCCATCTCATTGTACCGGTTCATAGATTTCCCTACTATTGATTACAAGAATCCCCAATAATCCAGGTTTCATCAGTCACATTTCACCAATCAAGTAGACAACAGTCACCATGAAATTCAATGAAACCATGTTAAACCTCATTTGAATTACCCTCTGGTGAACTAACATAGCAATGGAAAATCACCATTTTTAATGGGAAAATGTACTATAAATGGCCATTTTCAATTGCTATGTTAGTTCACCAGAGGGTAAACCTCATTTGAATTACCATTTATAGATGAACTTCCCAGTTCATGAAGACATTCCATGAAATCCCATTGAACATGTTCGGATAAAAACACTACTACATTGCATTAAATCCAAGTAATTCACCATTCAATTTCATTAAATAATCATGCAATCATCATGCATGAATTCACCAAATAGATATATTTTTTCCAGTTAAGGAGTTTAGGAGGAAATCCTAGTAAACTCCATTTCTTTCCTTTAAATCCTACAATGTGAGCCCCCCAGTTCTAAAATGGTTTATAAATTCCATAAAAACTAGAGTTATTTGCGTATCATAAACCATAGTTATTGGAGTTATTTGCACCAACTGAGCGCTATCGTAAACGGGGCCCCACTTTGTAGATAACAACCGTGATTACCCTCTGATTATTGTGTTATTAACATCCATACCAAGTGGCTAGCTATAGATAATTAATGTCTGCTTATTTAACATAGCTATGATACTGAATGATATTTCACTATAGTTATATCACCCAATTTCTGCAAAACAAACTATGAACTATATCAAGTGTCTAGCTAAAGTTATTTAATGATATTTGACTATAGTTATTAACATCCATATCAAGTGGCTAGCTATAGATAGTTACTGTTTGCTTATTTAACATAGCTATGATATTGAATGATATTTCACTATAGTTAAAACACCCAATTTCTGGTTAATACATCCCATTAACTATAGTTATTCGCGTATCATAAACCATAGCTATTGGAGTTGTAAACCAACTGAACGCAATTTCGTTTGGGGGCCCCACTTTGTAGATAACAACCATGATGACCCTCTGACTATTATATTATTAACGTCCATATCAAGTGCCCAGCTATAGATAATTATGGGTAGTAATAACTATGGATATGGTTATGGATGTTAATAACTATAGTATGGGTTTAAATGATATTTAACTATTGTCAACATCCATATTAACTTTAAGGATTACTGTTATTAACATTTGATAATTATTGTATGAAATCCTCAAAGATGTTCTGTTCGCTCCCCCCCGGTATCGGCTACACAACGAACATCCCCAGGAGCAGTGGAAGTCGGAACGCCCAGCGCTTGCGGCACCGGCGCAGCTCATCGTGTCCAAGGCGTTTTTCAAGGGCTCCACGCATCAAAAATGGGTCAAAAACAGCAGTTAGATTCATGGGACCCATTTTCAGTTATCTTCATCTATGGGATAAATAATATTTATATAATAGTTAATGAATATATATATATATAATAGTTAGGATAGATTATATAATTAGTTTTCCATCAGTATATCCTCAGTTAGATCATGAGTTTTATCTTTTATTATATTTATTAGCCATGGGAAAAATGAAAATAACCAGGTTTGTTTAATGATTTTTTACCTCCACAAGCGATTTTATTGAAGAACTGTTCATTTTTAGGTGATTCTCTGTGATTTTATTGGATTTTACGTACGAGTTTCAATAGAGATTGCTTCATCTATTTATAACTGCATGGTTGGTGGTTTGGAACATTTTTTAATTTTCCATATATTGGGAATAATCATCTCAACTGACTAATATATAATATTTGTCAGAGGGGTTGAAACCACCAACCAGATACAGGATGGGGCCCCCCAGTTATAAGTTTGTTTATAAACCATTATAATCCCCATTAACTATAGTTATATCTACCACAAACCATTGTTAAGCCACTTATAAACCAACTTAGCTATCTTGGGGGGCCCACCCTGTAAGGTTTTTAATAATTTCTGGGTCGCACAAGCCGGGTATCAACTCAGGGTGTGCAGGTTTTGCAACCCGACGTGTTGAGCGGGGTGGCAGAGCTGAATCGGCAACTTACCCTCTGGTAAACATACAAAAAATGATGGAAAATCACCATATTTCATGGGAAAATTCACTATAAATGGTCATTTTCCATAGTTTTTTGTATGTTTACCAAGAGGGTACTGGCACGATTTCCGAATCTTGTGTGCCCGCTGAGAAGGCTTGGATCACCGGCCACAGAGCCAAGTGCGAAGAAGCCAATTCATCCGGTGAAGCAGAAAAACATCGACGACCAGAACGCGATAGAAGTCCCACCTCCGTCACTGTTGAAGAGTTTGCCCTGAGCCTCCGAAAATATATTTCTGGTAAACATACAAAAACTATGGAAAATCACCATAGAAATAGTGAAATTTCCCATGAATAGCATGGTGATTTTCCATCGTTTTTTTGGGGCCTGATTTAAGTCATCCCAACAAAAACAGGTGAGAAATTTGACCGGTTTTTTTCGACCCAAATTGATTTAGGTAATCAAATCATATATGTTTTACCTAAATTTGGTGAGAAAATATATGACCTAAATGTTACACTGCAAATCAAATCATATATTTTTCAATGCACTTTACAGATGACATGGGAGTTTTGCATTTTGTTCACTTTGCACATGACATGGGAGTTGCATGTACTATATATTCCTGAAGTCAGTGGTCATTGACAGTTCTGTTTGTTTGTTTCTTTGCTTGTTTGTCTCTTTGTAAACCCGATGACATCAATTTCCTTTTCTCACTGGTTGGTTGATCAATAGACGGCTCCCCCATTCAAAAACAATAGGTCGATGATAATACATGACTGGTTGGTGGTTTGGAACATGATTTTTTTGACTTTCCATATATTGGGAATAATAATAAGCCCAACTGACGAACTCATATTTTTCAGAGGGGTAGGTATACCACCAACCAGATGATATACCCAAACCACCACCTTTATTTGTTTCTCCCTTCAAAGACAATATTGCCTTATAAACCAGTTCAATACTTCTACACCCAACGGTTGACCGTCGGCGAACTGTTCAGCAACTTAGCATGAGTCAATGATAAGTCACATTACATCTCCAAGTGTTCTGCGTTTAATCAATGGGAATTCCAGGATCCTAAAATGGAGGTACGTTCGTACCATGTTTTTGGCCATATTTTGGGGGTATATTCCCTTCCATAAGCCTGAAACATAGGCCTTATATATGGTACTTACCTCCAATCATGCAGTTCCTGGAATGGCCATTGATTTAATCCCTTGGATCTTCAGAATTCCGCCTGTTCCAATGGGTACTTGGAGGACCCAGTTGCTCAGATGGGCCATAGAATTTGCTGACTGGTGGGTAGCCGTGGTTTATAGCCTACTACAGTTGTGGCCATGGCTATTAGTTATAACATGTTAAAACCGGTTATTTCAATGGGATTATACATTGCTTAAATGGGGTGACTTAGTACTTATCACTGGTAAAGGGCCATAACTGTAGATCCCAAATATTTAGTCCAATTTACTAACCAATTAACTAAGTCCATGGCCCACCTAAGTCGATGATGCTTCACGACCTTCATGACGTCATAGAGGACTGGAGGGACAACCTACTAAGATACGACATGATGTACCTGAAACCATGCATCTCGTATCAAGTCAAACTGTGATTTAAGAGACAAGAGTTTGTTAGGATTAGCATCAAACCAGGGCCCCCAAGTTATAAGTTGGTTTAGTTTCACTCTACTAACTATGTTTTTTATTTTGTTTTTTACCCCGTTAACCAAGCTATAAACCGGGGCCAGCAGCAAAATAACCCATCAATGGCACCGAATATTCCAGTTTGGGGGTGGCCGTTTGATATCGCGGATCGGCTCCATCGGCGGACGTTGATATCTTTCTATTACGAACATTGAATGGCTATTTGGATGAGGCTCTAAACTAATGGCTATTTAATGGCTATTTAATGAGGCTCTAAACTAATGGCTATTTAATGGCTATTGAATGGCTATTTAATGGCTATTGAATGGCTATTTAATGGCTATTGAATGGCTATTTAATGGCTATTTAATGGCTATTTAATGGCTATTTAATGGCTATTTAATGGCTATTTAATGGCTATTTAATGGCTATTTAATGGCGATTTAATGGCTATTTAATGGCTATTTAATGGCTATTTAATGGCTATTTAATGGCTATTTAATGGCTATTTAATTGCTATTTAATGGCTATTTAATGGCTATTTGGATGTGGGTCAAAATGGAAGACCATTAATGGGACCACAGATGGAAATGTCTAGTTGAGTATTAACCATCCAATTATTGGGGTACCTAATTTTGACCCATACCCATTTAATGAGGCTCTAATTGGGATTTTATCACAGTCAATCTTGGTAAAATATGGCGATTGATTAAACCATGGTTAATCTAATTGGGATTAATGGCCATTGAAAACTCGCGTTATTCATGGTTACAGGTCGTATCTGGTTGGTGGTGACTGGAACATGAACAACTTATGACTTTCCATTCAGTTGGGAATTTCATCATCCCAACTGACGTTCACTCCATGATTTTCAGAGGGGCTGGTTCAACCACCAACCAGATATTTATATGATTTAATCATGGTTTGTCCACTAGTCGTGCTGAACGATGGGATGACTAAGGATTAGCCTAATGAATCATGGCGATGCGAAAAATCATGGAGAAATGCCGGGGTTTACTTGGACAATGATGTTTTTTTCATGGTGGAATTTCCGGAAGGTCAGTGAACCCCTGCAGTGAAGGTATTTTACTAATTGAATACTAACTATAAATTGGTAAAAGGGGTTATCATTTCCATAAATGGACTTATAACTTGCTTGAAACTGGTAAAGTACCATACTTGTAGTCATTCATGGGAGAATCATGGGAATTCGGGATATGATGGGAACATCATGGATTGACCACCAACAATAGTTTATGAGAATATCATTGGTGATAATTACTGATGGAAGAATAATGGGATATTAATATCTGGTTGGTGCTTTCAAACATTTTTTATTTTCCATAATATATGGGATAATCCTTCCCATTGACTTTCATATTTTTCAGAGGGGCTGAAACCACCAACCAGATATGATATAAACGGAATAATAACGGATTTACTCCCTGACGTCCTGAAGTAAATGGAGGTTTCTGGGGAAAAAAACGATTTGTTGGATGACCTTTGTAGTGTAATATTAGGGATAAAACACCATGTGTAGTGTTTAATGGGATACGGATAATCATGGGAATATCATGGGAATATCATGGGAATATCATGGGAATATCATGGATTAATCAGCAACAATATGGGTTGATGAAGTAATCCCATAGTAATCCCATAGTAATCCCTATAAATCACCAAAAATCCCATAGTCATCTTCGTTTTCAAACAGCTGATGTGGTCGTATTTTAGATAGCCTGCCTCTCAGTCCTCTCGCAGGCCTCGAAGGAAAGTACAAAGATACACCTTGCGGAGGATGCGCCTTGCTCGGTGATTATATAGTCAGTGCGGCTGGCTCCCCAAAATGCTGTGGGCTTCTGATCATCAATGTTTAATGGGACTTCTACAAGTCAATCCTGGTTAATATTTGTTGAGCATAATGCTGGTTCATAGTTGTTGATCATCAATCTGGGCAAATGAGAACGACCTCACTGCGACCTCACCGAAGCCTGGAATCATGGTTAGTAAGGGTAACTCACCCAAAGTAGCCAAAAAAAATCAGGTTTGTGATTTTTTGTAATTTACCCAGATTAATGTTTAATGAAATTTATACAAGTTAATTAATACTGAGTATCCAGACAGGTTAATAGCTGTTGAACATAATACTGGTTCATAGTTGGTTAACATATCCAACCATGCTTAGTAATCGCTGATAGTGGTTTGACAAACTCATCCAAAAGCTGGGTTGAGATTTACCGCTGAAACGATTCTATCTTATTTATGTAGATTTATCAGATCTAGCTATTTCCTGCGGACTAGCGCCAGCGAAACAAAACAACGGTTGGAGCACTCTCACTTTTGTCCGTCAAAAAAAATTGCATTTAATTGTGTGTTAATTCAATAATTTGCCCCTCAGAGGGGTGGGAAGTGGATGACATAAGCCATTCAGGCTGAACCGGAGTGGAAACTCTTTCACGAAGGGGCGGCACCAGAGGCAGGGGTTGGGTCTAGAAGCCACAAGATGCGGGCAATTTTCATGGGGAAATGACATGATGTTTTATGCTTATAAAACATGGTTGTGTTCGTTTGTTTTCCATAGCTATGTTAAATAAGCATACAGTAATTATCTATAGCTAGCCGCTTGATATGGATGTTACTAACAAAATAACAAGAGGGTAATCATGGTTGTTATCTACAAAGTGGGGCCCCCGTTTACGATAGCGCTCAGTTGGTGCAAATAACTCCAATAACTATGGTTTTATGATACTTATAACTATAGTTAATGGGGTTTATCAACCAATTTATAACCGGGGGGCACCACATTGTATAACATATCCATCAAATTTCGGGCTACCCAATTTTCTTACAATTTCATCTTGATCCAGGTTTGTTCCCCATGCGGATAAGATGAAGATGAGTTCCCCTGAGCATCGCATATTGATTAGAATCAATATTTTGAGGCTCTGAGATATTGATTTGCTTGGTCAACTTGCAAATCAATATTTTTTATTGATATTTTTCTTGATAGCATATTGATTTGAAATATTGATTCATTTCTTGATAGCATATTGATAGGTTTCTGAACCCAATCAAAATCAATATCAATATTAATATCCTACAGCTGTTTGGCTCTTTGAGCTGTTTTGTTTTTCAGCTTGCAATTTTGGAAATATCTTGGAAAAGGTCTAGGCTTGGGTTAATCCAAGTCTAGGTCTTGGAAAAGTCCAAACAGGTCTTGGAAAAGACCAAGGTACAGTTTTGCTCTGTGTGAAAAAAATGCAGTGCAGCCAGGTGCAGCTGTTGTAGTGACTGGTTCTGCATGTTGTGCTGCATTGGTAACTTGCATGCATGTCTGCAGCTGTTTTCAGTTTGGGTTAGAGTGGCTCATGTCAACATGACACCACCCATGCACTTAGCACACTCACAGGCATAGCCACACACACATACATACATACATACATACATACATACATACATATATATATATATGTGCATGAGCACATGTTCACAATTTTATCGACACAAACACACATAGGGACAGACATAACTTGCCTTGGTACAACACAACAACAAAAACTTCAACCAACAACAAATCACAATTCACACAACCTCCAGTAGCTGAGCTGTTGGTGGTCTTGGAAAAGGCCTTGCTGCTGCCACAGGTTTGGAAAAGCCTGTTGCTTGGAAAAACCCTTTGGGTTTGGAAAAGCCATTTGGGTTTGGAAAATCCCAAAGCTTCAAGAAAATCTCTGATTTGGAAAAGTCAGAGATGGAACCCGCTGATGGCCCCAAGAATAAGAAGGGGAGGCCCTTTGGCTCTGGCACCACCAGTGCCACCAGAAAAGCCAACAGGGAACACCTGCAGTGGGATCGCTTGGCTGGGGAAAACCCAAGTGATCCCCAGGTGTTGGTGAGGCACCTGGAGCAGCTGGAAAGTGCCCAGAAGAAGTGCCAAGCCAGGCTGCAGGCAGAGCTTGGAAAAGCTCTGGAGAGGCAGCAGGAGAAAGACATCTTGGCAGCTGAGGCTGCCAAGAAGAAGAGGAGCCACTCTGTGGCTGGTGGCTGCAAAAGCAGGGGGAAAGATGGCACAGCCAGGAAGGCCATCTTGACCCCTGCTGAGCCTTTGGAAAAGGGCTCTGCAGCCTCGTCCTCCTCCTGCAAGCTTCAGGGTTTGGAAAAGCCCAGCAAGAAGAAGGATTTGGGAAAGTCCAAGGGTTTGGAAAAGCCCAGCTCCAAGGAAGAGCCCAAGACCACCACTGGCTTGGAAAAGCCACTGGTCATTGTGGACTGGCATCAGACCCTGGAGAACAATGATGCCATCTCAGACAGGGATCTGCATGCCTTGGAGCTTCTGGCCTCAAGATGCAGGGTGTGCATCTTGAGCTATGTGGCATCTGACACAAGGGCAGAAAAGGTGATGGAAGACATCCACACCTTGGTGCCCTTCCATGAGCAGCTTTTTGGAAAAGAAGTCTGCTGGGCCCAAGTTGGGCACAGGGGCAAATGCCACATTGCCTGTGAGATGGATGCCATGGCAATTTTTGATGACAATCGAAAAATTTGCCAGGAATGCATGCAATGGGGGTTGGATGTGTACCCCATCAGAACCCAGAACCAGCCCCACAAGTGGATTCTGGCTGAGGACAGTTTTGGCACTTTTGCTGAAGCTGTGGACAAGTTCTTCAGCCATTATCCAAAGCTGTAAGTCTTGGAAAAGACTGCAGGAGGTGTTTGGAAAAGCACATTGTGGGGCTGGTGTGGTGCTTGGAAAAGCACCAAAGGCATGCATGGCATCAAAACCAGGAGTTTGGAAAAACTCCTGCAAAGAAGGGGTTTGGAAAAGCCCCTGAACAAAGCATGTAGCATCCTAGTTTCACCACACAGGCACTTCAGAGGCTGCAAGTAAATGTTAAGTCACCATTTGTTTGAAATACATTTGAAATAAATGAAAATAAACAGAACTGTTGAAACAACACTTCAACATGTTTCATCTGTTTGTAGCTACTGTGCAGCCTCAGAAGTGCCTGTTGCAATGTGGTTTGGAAAAGCCACACTAGGATCAAACAGTTGGTTTGGAAAAACCAGCTGTTTTTTTCCAAGCAACAGGTTTGGAAAAACATGTTTTTTTTGCACCTTTGTACAGTGTACAGTCAGCCTGTTTGCAGGCTGTTTTTTTAAAGGTGTGACTGGTAATACACCAGTCACACAAACAATAAGAAAAATGAAGAAAAATGTAAAAAAAAAAATAATATATATATATATATAAATTTAGATTCAAATAAATAAATAATTAAGAATTTTTACTTATATTTATATATTTTAAATTGGCATTTACAAATTAATGGTTTGTGTTTTCTTGTTTTCTGATTTTTTTGTACAAATTTGAGTAAGGCCAGTCATGGACCTTGACAAAACTAAACTCTGGAACAACACAAAACCACAGGCTTGGAAAAGCCTGGAAATGCCCAAGTAAAATTCAAAACAAACCTGCACAGAACTTTTTTTTTGTTTTTGCAATGTTCTTCCAAATTATTTTTTGGGTCCAAGCTGGCATGAAATCTGGTGAGACTCATCTCTACAACCAAAATATAAAAGCACAGGTTTTTCCAAACCTGGACCTTTTAAAAATTCTTTTTGTGTCCAAGCTGGCATGAAATCTAGTGAGACTCACCTCTACAACCAAAATATAAAAGCACAAGTTTTTCCAAACCTGGACCTTTTTAAAATTCTTTTTGTGTCCAAGCTGGCATGAAATCTAGTGAGACTCACCTCTACAACCAAAATATAAAAGCACAGGTTTTTCCAAACCTGGACCTTTAAAACTCTAGAGACCATCAAATTCAATTTGACACAGTTTTCTTTAAAAAAAAAAACATGTCTTGGTGGTATTGGATTTGAACAGGAAATCAGAGATACACATTCACACAACTAAACTTTGATTTGCGATCAAGCATTGTTTCAAAACAAACTCAAACAAAGGTATTGCAATTTGTTCTGCACAAAAAGTAAATTAAGCATTTCCCTTAATCTCAACCCAGGCAAATGCCAGAAGAAAACTGACAAAACAATTTGATATTAAAAAGAAAAATAGAAAAAATATAAAAATGTAAGTCAGGGTGAATCTGATCAAATCTGATCAAATCTGATCAAATTTGATCAAATCTGATCAAAAGTGGTTTTCGATCAAATTTGATCAGATTTGATCAAATTTGATCAAAATTGATCAGAAATGATCAGATTTGATCAGATTTGTATTTTCTTAGTTTTTTTGTTTGTTTTTTGAAAACAAAATTATTGTTTTGTGTTTTTTTGAAAACAAAGTTAATTGTTTGTTTTGTGCGCTAACAAATTTGTAGGACATGAATTGTTCATTGGCTTGAAAAATAAAAAACAAAAATAACTGTGTTTGTTCTAAACAATATAGCTTATTAAAAAAAAACAGAAATGCATTTATTTTACTTTAAAATCAAATATGTACATATATGTTCTATATATAAATATTTGCCAAATATAATTACACTAAAAGCAAACTATGTTGGACAATACAATATATGTTGATAATATTTTTACAAAATGCAAATTAGTCACTGGAAACAATTGTTTGAAATCATAAACATATAAACAAATTTAGCGCATACATATGTTTTTGGACTTGGAAAAGTCCATGTGTTTTTTTAAAAGCAAATATAACATATTGTTCCACTAGTTTATTATCAAACATGCAGGTGTGGTTGAAACATTTGGTTTGTTTAAAACATTCTATATTACATGTTGTATGGTTTGGGGTGTGGTGTGTTAAATGGTTTGGGGTGAAATATAACATGGGTTGCAAAACATATATATATATATGTATTTAAAGATAAATGTATGTATATATAGTTATGTATATATGTATTTGTATATGTATATATATATTTATATTATATGTAAATATATATATAAACATGCATGCATGATGCATGTGGCAGTTTTGGTTCAAACTTCTTGCAGCAGTTAGCTAAGCAATTCGAAAAAAAAAACAAACAAAGCAATGGCACCAAAGAAAGCCATGAAAGGCATGAAGGCAAAGGGTTTGGAAAAGCCTAAGGGCTTGGAAAAGCCAAAGAAAGTTATGAAGAAACCAAAGGCTTCCTCCAGCAAGCCTGGAAAGGCTAATAGGCCTGGAAAGGCTAAGAGGCCTGGAAAGGCTAGCAAGCTCAGCAAGGCCAGCTTGGAAAAGTTAGGCCAGATGAGCTTGAAAGACAAGATGAAGGCAGCAGCTGAAGGGGCTGAGGACCCAAATGAAGCTGCCATTGTCTTGCATGACAGCATGTCAAAGCTGGAGAAGTCAAAGGCTTGGAGCAAACACCAGACTGCTCTGAAGCATGGCTCCAAGCAGGAGCAGGCAGCTTACAATGACTTGTCCAAGAAAGACAAAGGCATTGCAGCTGTAGCCTATCTCTTGGAAAAGGAAGGCAAACAATACATGACAGCCTTGAAAAAGGCGTCTGTGGGAGAAAAGGTCACCAAGGCTGACAACTGGGAGACAGAGCTGCAGATGCTGGCCAAGTTCACACCAGAGGAACTTGACCTGCATCTGCAATCTGGAAGAGTTGTCTGGAGAGAGTGCCCTTCCACATGGGGTGCTTATGAATATAAGGACACCCAGTGCTTCCAAAGGGAGATCTCCACCAACAGGGCCAAGGAATGGCAGAGTGGGGTGGAGTATGATCCAATGGAAGAGGACTTGGAAAAGTTCATGGATCTCTTCACCAAAGAATGCCATTCCTTGGAGGTGGATGATCATCCCAAGGGCAAGGGCTCTGGAAAGAGCCATGGGAAGGGCAAAGGCCTTGGAAAAGGCAAAACCAAGAACAAGAGCAACCAGGACACTCCTGATGACAAGCTGGATACCTTGGAAAAGGTACTGAAAGCTTGCAAGACAGCCAGGAACATGGTTGCATCCACACAGTCAGGCTTGGAAGTGGCTTTGGAAAAGGCTAAGTCCAAGCTGAACAAGGCTGGCAGAGCATCTGCAGAGACTGCTCTCAAGAAGCTTGGAAAAGCTCTTGGTGACCTGAAAGCCATGTTGTCTGGAAAGAACAACAAAGATTCTGCTTCCATCAAGAAGAAGCTGATGGGTGTGGCCAAAATTGTCAAGGAAGCCAAAGATGAGACCAAAGAGCTCAAGAGTGTTGGTGGCAAAGCACAGTCCACAGCTGGAAGCAGGAGAGGCCATTGGTTTTGGAAAAGGTCAGTGCCAAAAGGTCTTGGAAAAGACATATATTTCCACACATGGAAGCAGAAAAGCAAAGTGATTTTGGAAAACATCACAGCCACAGATGGGAACAGAAAAGCAAAGTGACTTTGGAAAAGGTCACAGCCAAAGAGCCTTGGAAAAGGCATGGTAGGAATGCCATGGGTTGCATGTTGGTGGGAGGTGTGTTGCATTATGCATGTTGGTGGGAGGGGCCTGGAAAGGTCTGCAAAGAAAAGCCTTGGAAAAGGCTTGGCTTCATCTTGGATGAGATCCAAGAACAATACAGGTCCCAAGAGCTGTCAAATAGATTGACCAATTTAAGGTTGTCTAAGGTTGTCTATATTTACAGATGCAAACAAGCCATGGGCTTCCAAAGCATCCTTGGACATCAAAGCTGGAGAAGCCAAGCACCTCCTGCCAGCAGTTGTGCCAGTCTTGGAAAAGCTCTTTGGCCCAAGCATGCATGTGAGGGAAGAAGAAAGAAAAATGATCTCTGCAGCCAAGAGCTTGGAAAAGCTGGTGGCTCTGTGGGATGAAGCAGAGACATTTTTAACTCCTTCACAATTTGCTCAAAGCATGGCTCTTGGAAAAGAGTTTTTGCTATCTTACAAATGGCTGAATTCTTGGTCCTTGGAAAAGGATAGGAATTCTTTTGCCATTGTTATAAAACACCACACTTTCATACATTTACTTCTCAATAGTAAATATATGAACCCCAGGCGACAGTGGTGCTTCAGAGGGGAAGATTTTGTGGGACATGTGAGCAAGATGGCTCACTCCATCAGCTTTGGTGTATCTTCAACCAAGATCAGCACCAAGCTTTGTCCCAAGTACCGCATTTTCTTCCACCTCTTGATGACAAGAGGCTTGGAAAAGCCTCTTTGGGTTGAAGAAGATGACACCTTCTAGAGCTTTGGAAAAGGCATGGCAAAAAGTCCAGAAACATTGGAAAATGCTAAGCTTTGGAAAAGGCCAAGGAAGCTTTGGAAAATGTAGCTCTTTGGAAAAGGCCAAAGTAGCCTTATAAGGCAAAGATCCCGACTTTTCCTTGAAAAAATGCTTGTTTTGCAGCACCTGAAATATTGATTTTTCTCTTGGTTTCATATGGTCAAAACCATCATTTTTTACATTGAAATATTGATTTGAAAAATCAATATCTGATATTGATTTTTCAACCCATCAAAATCAATATATTGATCCTAATCAATATGGGATGCTCAGGGTCCTCTACTGTTTATCTTACATTGAGTTGATGCCCCTTCCACCCAAGTGTTTTTTTGGTGGTATCCTATATATAATTATATATATACACCTGCTTGTGCATATTTCAAAGGGCAAGATGCGACTTATGGGCCATCTAAGATACAAGTTGCCGATCTTCTCAGAACACCTTTTACCAATGCTGAGAAGTTGAGATTTGCATTGAACCTCATGTCTCATGTGGCATCAAAAAGGGCCGAGCCCCGAGAAACCGAGAAACCCCAATCTGCGTCTCCTGGTAAGCCACGGCCGCTCTGGCGTGCAGAAGCTCCGGGGAACCAAGGGTGTCTATCAACCCAAAGGCAGCCATGCAGGGACCATTTGAATGGCAGGCACCGGAAGGTTCGATCATCAACCGGCAGGCGCTCCGCCAGAGATGACGGGGCCCAAGGTTTTCGTGACGACCGGGCCCTCTAGCTGTAGCCCATTTCGGGACGCGGTTGCTTTCATGGCTGCGTACTCGCCTTACCTCACTGGAAATCATGGTTTTTATAGAGAAATCATCCCCAAATGGCCGCACTTTTCAGCTTAGTGAATTATTATAATTTACTCAGAGTTACGGCCATGGCTATTACAATAAATACTTACAAAGTGGGGCCCCCGTTTACGATAGCGCTCAGTTGGTGCAAATAACTCCAATAACTATGGTTTTATGATACTTATAACTATAGTTAATGGGGTTTTTCAACCAATTTATAACCGGGGGGCACCACATTGTATAACATATCCATCAAATTTCGGGCTACCCAATTTTCTTACAATTTCATCTTGATCCAGGTTTGTTCCCCATGCGGATAAGATGAAGATGAGTTCCTCTACTGTTTATCTTACATTGAGTTGATGCCCCTTCCACCCAAGTGTTTTTTTGGTGGTATCCTATATATAATTATATATATATATACACCTGCTTGTGCAAATTTCAAAGGGCAAGATGTGACTTATGGGCCATCTAAGATAGAAGTTGCCGATCTTCTCAGAACACCTTTTACCAATGCTGAGAAGTGGAGATTTGCATTGAACCTCATGTCTCATGTGGCATCAAAAAGGGCCGAGCCCCGAGAAACCGAGAAACCCCAATCTGCGTCTCCTGGTAAGCCACGGCCGCTCTGGCGTGCAGAAGCTCCGGGGAACCAAGGGTGTCTATCAACCCAAAGGCAGCCATGCAGGGACCATTTGAATGGCAGGCACCGGAAGGTTCGATCATCAACCGGCAGGCGCTCCGCCAGAGATGACGGGGCCCAAGGTTTTCGTGACGACCGGGCCCTCTAGCTGTAGCCCATTTCGGGACGCGGTTGCTTTCATGGCTGCGTACTCGCCTTACCTCACTGGAAATCATGGTTTTTATAGAGAAATCATCCCCAAATGGCCGCACTTTTCAGCTTAGTGAATTATTATAATTTACCCAGAGTTACGGCCATGGCTATTATAATAAATACTTACAAAGTGGGGCCCCCGTTTACGATAGCGCTCAGTTGGTGCAAATAACTCCAATAACTATGGTTTATGATACGCAAATAACTCTAGTTTTCATGTTTTTGTTTTACCAATTTATAACTAGGGCGCCCACATTGTAACTGGTATTTCGGGCCATAACTGTATTATGTATGTCTTCATTAATCCTTACCTTCATTGACGTCAATGAATATCATATGATATAGTATAATATTGTACACTGCATGTAGAATATTATATGCAATTATATTTATCATAGTTGATTAAAATGAACACATACCTATTTTTACATAATATATGTACATGTACATGTATACACATTTGTGCTTCATTATAATGTACTGCCTATATTAACATTTGCATAGTCTGTGTTTTCGCAGAAATTTCCATGTCCCTCACCAATGGGACACGCAGGAGGCTGGGCACGGGCACTGCTGCAGAGACCAATGTCGCTGTCGAGCTCCTTGCAAAGAGCATTGCAACGAGGAGGGACGACCATGAAACAGACCCCTGTTGATTGGGTATTTTATCATACACATTGGGGATATATATGATATATATATATATTTATTATTTGTATATATATACATAATATGATCATCATTGTTTCTTTGGATCCCGAATGTCAAAGTATAGCATAGGATCCTGCTGTAAAACAAAACTCATTTATTCCATTTACTCCCATATGATTGTACATACATACATATTGTGAGATCCAACAAACATCAACTTTGTATATTAATGTTAACATATGGGATATATATATATATATATACATACCATCATATATGTATATGTATATATATACAATATTATTGTATACGGTCTATACAGAAATATATCCCATAGTTCTGGGTGTCAACCACCAGGAGCTCGTCTTGTCATGGCTCAGTTGCGGGGTGAAGCGCGGTGTCAGCGTTTCCAGAGGCCCCATTTGTTCTATGGAAAGGGAGCAGAAAAGGGGACATTCATGGGATTGAATGGGATTTGAAAGGATTATATAATGGGATTTAACAGGATTTTATCGGATTAAATGGGATTGAATGGCAGCTTTTAAGATTTTTGCTGATTTTTGTGGGATTGTTCATGGGGGATTAAATGGGATTTACAGCGATTTGAATAGGCTGTTCATGGGTGCAAATTTAAGTATCGACTTTGGAGGCGTATAATGGGATTTTTCGGGGGAGGTTTGTTGGATGTATCCATGAATTATAAGTTTTTGGTAAGGGGTTCAATCGATGACCGTTTCAGGAACCGATTTATTGGAGGTACCTACCAGTTATAAGGCCTATGTAAGGGAATATACCCCCAAAATCCTCCATTTTAGGATCCTGGAATTCCCATTGATTAAACCGATGAAACACATGGAGAGTTGATGAACAAGGGTGATAATTCAACAGAATCTGGATATGTTCGAATCAGTTTTGAAAAGAACGTACCCTCTGGTAATTTGTTACGTAGCGGAAATGGCCATAGAAATAGTTGATTTACCTATTAAAGATGGTGATTTTCCTGTTTGCTATGTTAATTTTACCAGAGGGTATCCCCACCTAGATTTGTTCGAATTGCGCAATGTCTATGAACTTATATTTACCCTTTGGCAAACGAACATAGCTATGGAAAATAGCCCTATAGATGATTTGTTTTACCTATTAAAAATGGTGATTTTTCCATAGCTCAGGCAAAATATATGCCGGGTAGCCAGTTGCAGCTGCCGGGCATGTCCAGGTAGATCTTTTAGGATGTCTCCCTGCTATTACGATGTCTATGCATAAGTATAAACTGGTAATTTATGTTTATTTCTGGTTCTGCTTCAACTCAAATTCCTGCAATTGGTTGAAGGAAAAAGTTGCAAAGAAAAGATCGTTTGTTAAAAACATGGTTTGATGATGTTTGATGTCGATTTGCCTTGAAATAAATCCATTATTGCTTGTATATCCCCATTGTATCCCATAATATCTCGATCTCAATATATCTCAATCATGACATTCATATATGTATATATATACCCTCTGGTAAACTAACATAACTATGGAAAAGCATCATTTTAAATAGGTAAATCAACTACAAATGGCAATTTTCAATAGCAAACTGTTTGTTTACCAGAGGGTGTATATATATATATAAACAACCAACAAACATGTATCTACAAATCCCCAATCATATGGTTGATACTATTGAAATCCCATGTCTAGATAAACTCATCGAAATCCCCAAGATCGATTTTGGATCCCCGGAAAAAATGGGGGTGTCCTAAAAATGGGATCCCCAAAAGCCTCGATTTCAATACCCAAATTACTAAAAATGGTTCATTGATGATTTGGGGGGTACCTCCATTCTAGTAGAATTTTCTTACCCGTTGAGTAGCCCCGTTGATTATCAAATGATGGGATGATATACCCATGATCCCCATATAGGATGGTGCCCCCGAGTGATGTGAATGTTGGCTTATAAACCCCATGAATCTACCATACGCTATCTTGGGGGCCCCATCCTGTATGGTTGTTTTAAGTTAAAGCCATTAAATACCCATTAAATACCCATTACGTACTTTTTAATCGTTTGAATTGGAAATTATATTCATAATCCCATATATATACCCATAGGACAGTGTATATATATATATATACACCCAAAATCCCATATATACATATATATATCCATAATCATAATCCTTAATGTATAGTGTATACAGTGTGGTGCCCTCCAGTTATGAGTTGGTTTATAACCCCAACCAAATATAGTCATAATTTACCATACACTATGGTTATTATAGTTATAAACCAACTTAGCTAACTATGGGGCCCCATCCAATGCCATCCTGGATAGCTAAGTTGGTTTATAGCTCCAATAACTATGGTTTATGATACTTATAACTATAGTTAATGGGGTCTACTAACCATTTATAACTGGGGGGCACCACATTGTATAACATATCCATCAAATTTCGAGCTACCCAATTTTCCCACAATTTCATCTTGATCCAGGTAAAAACCAACTTAGCTAACTATGATGCCCCATCCTGTACCCATTATATCCCATATGACCAGCATTTTGTGTTGCTTAACTCGCCTTTGGATCAGGATTGCTGGAGCCTGCTCCAGAGCCTCCAAGCTTCCTGGATCCATGAGACCCTGGTTGATATATGGGTATAATAATGATACTATATTATATCAAACGTAATGGTTATGATACATATATATCAGAATATCTATATAATATCTATACAATATCTATAGAATATGGTGCTGAGATATTACCTACATTTACCACATTGTTGGCCAAGATTTGTAGGTAAATATGCCATACATGGAGCATCTGGGCTATATTATATATCAAATGTAATGGGTATGATATATATATATATATATATTAACACATATATTAATTAATATATATATATATATAATATCGATATAATATGGGTATGATACCCATATATCATATAATATCTATGTTTCCCAGCTACAACCCAAGTATCTGGGAAAAGCATCTACTATAGTTTTTTGTCTATCAATCTATAGGTGTTCTTATATCTTGGGTTATTTATAGATATTAAATCTATAGATATTAGATCTATAAATGGATATTCTAGCCGGTTAATCCATTTATAGCTGGAAAAAGGTAGAACACACATCTATAGATATCTATAAATTGTGATTTAATTGGGATTTACTCTGGTTTATCTAATGGATTTTAATGGTGATTATTGTTTGTCAATTGGTTAATGTAGGGACTTGTGTAATCATGAATCATTGGGGTTTATGAGGTTTTAACTATAAACGATATGGGAATATAGTTGATAAATGCCCTGGTTGATGAACTGGGAGTTCTACTACCGGGGAATAATCGTGGATTAGTATAACTCATAGTAGGGAAAGCTATAAACCAACGAGTATTTCATGCGATCGGATCGGCTATTTTAATGCTTCGTTGCCAAAATGGGAGAGCCGTACTCGTACTCTGGGAATGACCAATGGGCCGGGTTACAACTTTCGGAAATGGCAAGCAGTTTAGAGCCGCAGGTACAAAGTGGGGCCCCCTAGATAGCTAAGTTGGTTTATAACTCCAATAACTTTGGTTTATGGTACCTATACCTATAGTTAATGGGGCTTATAAACCAACTTATAACTGGCACCACATTGCATCAAAACATATCATCCAACCACTCAGCAGAGAAGCTGTAGCTGCCTGGAGATGGGAAAATTGGAAGCCTACATGGCCACATTTCATCCATCTCCTTCTATAGAAGCCATACGATTTGGACACATCCATTCCCCACGATATCAAACACCCCCAATCGAAACCGAGGTGGGGTTTAGTGCCCGGTCTATTTATTCATTGTGGGTTTTGGATTGGACGTGCTTAATGTTATTTCTGGGTTTTGGAGGGATGGAAATGCTCAAGATTCTCATCGTTCATCAACTATTCCCATCTGGGTAAATTAAAATTCGTCCAGATCTATCACTCGTCAATTCCTCATTTATGGTTCGTTAAAACCCCTGTAGCTACAGTCTATTCCTGGACTTGGCCGAAATGAAAAAATGCAGGACCCCTGTATTGCAGGCAATTCTACCATGGCTTCCCATGATTTGCTTGAAACTCCACCATTTTAGCAATTTTGTTCGATGAAGTTTCCATTTAGACTAAACATTGGCATGTGTGATGGCCAAAGGGTTTTCCGTGCCATTTAGCATGATTAGGCATGTTCCATACATTTGTAGATATGAATTTCCTGTTGAAACATATTGAAACCTTCATTTAGAGGACATTCATTGTCCTATTGTTTCCAATGGTGTCTCATATTTATGGATGTTCCCATGGTTTCCAATGGCATTTATAATGGATGTCCATTGCTTAGATTTCACCATAAGTTGGAGCTTGGAATCCCATAGTTGTAGCATGCTGTAGCCACTACCATAGTTATTACCAGTTATAGCCATGGACTATCGCCTAGTTATATCCATGCTTAATAACTTTTACAATGTGGTTTTTCCTCCAGTTGTAAATTGATTGTAAATCCATTAACTATAGATATGTCACCTATAAACCATAGTTATTGGAGTTATAAACTCACCAACTGAACGCTATGTAACGGGGGCATCACCTTGTATCCTCCACGTTTGAGTCGCTAAGATGGTTGACACTTTTCTTCGACAGCGGAAAGCGATGGTCAGTGTGGGATCCACCAAGCCCGAAGCCCCAATCAAAAAGGGACTTGGAAAAAGAGGGATTCGAACGATGGGTATAGATATATAGCAAATGTATAGTGTGTGTATATATATATAAATGGGATTATACATCATCATATAGTGTATATATTCGAACGATGGGATTATACAGGGATATAGTAAATGGGTATTTTCTATCTGAAAGGAAGTGTGACTGGGGTACAATTCACTCTCATGGTTGGTGGTTTGGAACATGAATTTTATGACTTTCCATATGTTGGGAAGAATACTTCCAACTCACGAGCATATTTTTCAGAGGGCTTGAAATCGCCAACCAGTAATTACATGGGTTTAAGCAGATTTGATTTAAGGATAGAGAAAAGATGGAGAATGACCAACCAACAATGAGTATCATGGGCGATATGACTGGTGTTTTTGCCTTGGAAGGTTTGGCGGGAGCCTGTCGCCAGTTACAGCTCCACCACCAATTTAGGATGGTTGAAACCCTAACAAAATCATGGGATGTTTACCATCTATCAGAATCTATCAGCTGGTGATTCGGATTTCGCTGGCCCATAGTATTGCTAGTGATACTGGCCTAATGTTAACATCGTGAAATAGTCACTACCTTTTCTGGTGGTTTGGTACATGTTTTATTTTCCATAATATATGGGATAATCCTTCCCATTGACTTTCATATTTTTTAGGATGGTTAAAACCACCAACCAGTTTTGTTTCTTGGAACATCGTTGATTTTATCAATATTCTTATTTTATCAATGACTATTTCATAATGTCAACAGCAGGCCAGGATGCCCATGGATCCATGGTTGAGGATACATGGACTTGAATACGACGTGCCGAGAAGCATCTTACCCTTCAGTAAGCCCACATAGCCATGGAAAACAATAACAAATAAAGACTAGTACTGGTTGGTGGTTTGGAACATGAGGTTTTTCCATATATTGGGAATAATCATCATCCCAACTGACGAACTCCATGATTTTCCAGAGGGTTGAAAACACCAACCAGCAATTTGGAGGCTTAGCCGTACCTTCTCAGACAGTGGCCATGGATCCATAGGGTGTCATTATAATTCCAATACATAGGGTTTGTTGTATGTCAATATATCTATACAATGGGGGTTAGAAACCACAGAACATATCAGCGGTGGGAACTTGAAGGTTTCTTACTTCCAACCCTCAGCTGGCTGAACTGCCGACGGGACTCACTTTTCTCAAGCAGGGGCAGGCAAGGATGCAATGAACAAAATGCATGAGTCCGCACTTGAGCACGTACCAAACCTGGGTCCTCAACAATTCTTGGCCCTGCCCCCAGTTGAAATGGAGTTACAACTAGCTATAGCTGAGGCGATTTATGCCTTGAATGCGGTGAAGGAAACACACTTATCATTGCTAATGGGGTACAAGGTGGCGCCCCCCCTGTCATAGGTTGGTTTATAATCATTCCCCGTTAACTTTGTAGATAGATCTACAATAAACCGCAGTTATTGGAGTGAAATACCAACTTAGCTAAGCATCTAGTGGTTTTGATTCAATCAGCTAGCACAGATAAAACAAGTTTGCAATAAACCAGGCACAGGAGCCCAAAAGTCCTGAATTCAATCTTTCACGGGACTATCTGTGGATAATTCCCACATACTTTAAGTATGTACACTTGTTTCAACTTGCCCATGATAAATTGCAAAAGACTGGTAAGAGTACCGACCTTCGTTGCCAACACATCTATTTGTAGGATCAACCGAAGTCTAGATATGATACGTTTAGCTTTTTTTGGAAGAATTGAGGATCTATCAACTCAACTCTTTAACTTCAGTGGCCCAGTTTTCAAATTGGACCCATCTGCAAGAGTTTCCATCATGGCGGAACCAGCCGCGCCGGGCACACCCCGGACACCTCAGTCCCGGAGTGCTCGAGCACTGTTGGAGGCCTCGCCAGCAACGGACAAGAAAGCAGCGCCCAGACGATCACCGCCTAGGTGCCTGGCTGAAGAGCCAGACTCACCTAGCCAAAAGAGGCCCAGAACACCAAAGAATCCAGAAAGACGAGTGCTCTCAAAGTCACCGCCTGTGCAACAAAGCTCACCGAGCCAACAACGGTCAACAACGCCACCGCAAAAACCAGATAGACGAATACGTTCCAAGTCACCGGCCACACAGCAAGCCTCACAGAGCCAGCAACAGCCAACAACGCAACCCCAGAAGCCAGACACAACAGGTGGGTCTCCGTCAAGCGCCGTGCAGCCAGACTCACCCAGCGGTCAGAGGCAGACAACACTACCCAAGAAGCCTGACACAAGAGCACGGTCCAGGTCAAGGGCCAAACAGGCAGACTCACCGCAACCCAGCCGACAGAGGCCTAGAACACCGCAAACAAAGCCAGACACAGGAGGGCGGTCTCGGTCAAGAGCCAGGCAGCCTAACTCACCCAGCAGTCAGAGGCAGACGACACAACCCAAGAAGCCCGACACCAGAGCACGGTCCAGGTCAAGGGCCAAACAGGCAGACTCACCGCAACCCAGCCAACAGAGGCCCAAAACACCGCAAACAAAGCCAGACACAACAGATGGGTCTCAGTCAAGCGCCAAGCAGCCAGACTCACCCAGCAGTCAGAGGCAGACAACACTACCCAAGAAGCCTGACACAAGAGCACGGTCCAGGTCAAGGGCCAAACAGGCAGACTCACCGCAACCCAGCCGACAGAGGCCCAGGACACCGCAAACAAAGCCAGACACAGGAGGGCAGTCTCGGTCAAGAGCCAGGCAGCCTAACTCTCCCAACAGTCAGAGGCAGACGACACAACCGAAGAAGCCCGACACAAGAGCACGGTCTAGGTCAAGGGCCAAACAGGCAGACTCACCGCAACCCAGCCAACAGAGGCCCAAAACACCGCAAACAAAGCCAGACACAACAGATGGGTCTCAGTCAAGCGCCAAGCAGCCAGACTCACCAAGCAGTCAGAGGCAGACAACACTACCCAAGAAGCCTGACACAAGAGCACGGTCCAGGTCAAGGGCCAAACAGGCAGACTCACCGCAACCCAGCCGACAGAGGCCCAAAACACCGCAAACAAAGCCAGACACAACAGGTGGGTCTCGGTCCCGGTCAAGAGCCAGGCATGACTCACCCAGCAGTCAGAGGCAGACGACACAACCCAAGAAGCCCGACACAAGAGCACGGTCCAGGTCAAGGGCCAAACAGGCAGACTCACCGAAACCCAGCCAACAGAGGCCCAAAACACCGCAAACAAAGCCAGACACAACAGGTGGCTCTCGGTCCCGGTCAAGAGCCAGGCAGCCAGACTCACCTAGCAGTCAGAGGCAGACAACACCCAAGAAGCCAGAGTCAAGAGGGCGCTCGCGCTCAAGGGCCAAGCAGCCAGACTCGCCTAACCAACGGCCGTCCACGCCAGGCAAAAAGCCAGACAGATCCAGAAGAGCTCAACCTCCGGACACTGTTTGGCGCTCGAAAGTGCAGCGGTGTTGGCTTTGGGAACCAGCCGAAAAGGATCAGGTATTTGCTCATCCTTCAAGCTTCTTGGCTGGGGAAAGCTCACAAGATGTTATGAAAAGTCAACGTGTGACACACCCCTATGATATGATATGCCGTGATGTATCTAAAACCCTGATTCACTGTATGCCCCACAAAGTAGGTATTTTTAATCCCAATACATCTTGGTCCTTACTGGGTCAACAATGGTTAGTTAAATCCTTTAGTACTGCAATCACTATTATACCCTCTAGATATTTAACATAGCCATGGAAAATGGCCCATTTATAGATGGTTTACCTATTTAAAATGGTGATTTTCCATGGCTATGTTGAATAACCAGAGGGTAATTAGCTAAAACAAATATTAGTATATTATAGTATTAGCTTCATTAGATTAGTATATATTTATATATTAGCTATTATTATATACTAATAATTAGAATAGATACTAATCTGCTATCACTACTATATATATATATGTTTGGCAGGTATCTAAGATTCGCCCTGCCACGATGTATCTAGATTGTTGCTCTCATGTCAACCTCTGATTGCTGACGACCCTGACGACCAAATTTCTGTTGGTGGCCTGGAACAGTCATGAAAGTCATGAAAGTGCCTTACAAGGGGCATCAATCCATCAGTAGGAATTGATTGATGTTCATGAAAAACGGATTAATACAAAGTGGGGCCCCCAAACGAAATTGCGTTCAGTTGGTGCAAAAAACTTCAATAACTATGGTTTATGGCACCTACAACTATAATTATATAATATTGTTTATAAAGCAGCTTATAACCTGGGAGGCACCACATTGTAAGGATTCCCAATATTGATGGATGACCATGAAAATGAAGTGTATACCCATCACTACCCATCAAAAAATTCCAGTGTATCCCATTGTATTACCATGATATTCCCGTTTTATCTCCGTTAAAGTTGGTTTATTCACCATTTTAGATATTTAACCATATATGTTTGTTGACCATAAATATATTAACTATGCATGGTTGTTAACCTGATATTGTTTGATATAGTCAACCATTTTTAAATATTCCCGTAACCTGATATATGGATATGGTTGACTATATTCCCATTATGTACCCAGTGCTGTATATCATTATATACCCATTACATATCCCACTCTCGTTGGTTTTCATCCAAGTTCCCATGTTTTCACCACGGCACAATCTGAAAGATTTGGCTCTTGAATGTGCCCCTGGAACAATCCGAGGTTGACATTTGGCTTCTTAACCCAGTACTCGAAGGATCATCTTACTTACAGGATGGGGCCCCATAGTGTGTCTAAGTTGGTTTATAATTTATAACTATAATATAGCGTATGATACTTTTAATCATATTCAGATTGAGTTATAAACCAACTTATAACTGGGGCGCACCATCCTGTGAATCATAACCATCTTTACAACCCAGTTGCGTATCCGATAGCGCCACTGATCCTGGGACTTAGTAACCAGGGTCATTAACCACTTACTTCTCGAACCGCGGGACAATCCTCCCCATTTTTACCCTATGTGGGCTGCCCGCGAGCTCACTGGATGATGGAATGATTCGGGGTAACTCTCCACATGTCTGGACATTGGATTATACATTAGTGGTTTGACTATGGTTTATGGTAGATATATGACTATAGTTAATGGGATAATAATGGGATATTATAGAGTGAAATGGCCATGGCTATGAGTTATAGCTGGTTATTAACCTATGGGCTTATTCATTTTATAAATGGGCTGACTTTTTAGTACTCGGGGAATAGTGGTTAATGGTTAAGAGTGGCTAAACATGTGATCAATGATGGTTATAACTGGTGATTAACCTATGGGATTATACATGAACCATCAATGTGGTGACTTGTTAGTACTTATAAGTGGTATAACTCGGGCCATAAGTGCAACATCATCATCGTTCCAGTGAATTCATGTTCATGTCCAGTGAAGACGAAGTGGGAAATTAATATTGCTGTAGTTCATTGACAATAGTTAATATATAACAAATATATATATATATAATAGTCTATATTATATAATTGCAGTAGTTCTAGAATGAATAAACTGTATACTGTTGGGAAACTCATCCCTTTTTCAGGTCAATGAAGTCTTGTAATTTTACCCACATCCCATCATGGCTGCATTGGTGGATATATACAGTATATGGGGATCGTTCTAAAGCCCTCCTATTCAAATTTAGTTTGCGGGTTTGTGGAGCAATTTGGGGTAGCTTAAAACCTGCATCGCGCAAGTTTTGCGCAAGGCCGGCCCAAGGTTTTGCGCATGGGAAATTGTAGTAGGGTTTCTTTAAAGATGTTTTCCTAAGGAGATACACGGACACCCACATGAGTTGAAGATCTTAGTTATCCTTCGAACCATTCTTACCAATTATATATTCATCACTATATGATGGTTAGTCATAATATGGTTGATAATTGTTGATCACTAGCAATCAATCTATGGTTGATCACTATAGTTGGTCATAGTTTTCTCCATCATTAAGAGTTCATCATTATAATAGTTATTACCCACTTAGGCTACTCTTCACCACTATTTTCGACCATTCGCGTATTGTCACGATGCCGCGTTCGGCACTTTGAAGTTCCCACTTCGGCTCGAGAACTTCATCGTATCGAATTCTTCACCAGGTTTGGGATCTCTGCAAGCGGCCTGTGGTCCATTCTGGGCAAAGATTGCTAAGGCGGTGACGGCGGGCGACGGTGAAAGCAGAGAGGGCTGTCGAACGGAGAGGTCACTATATATGGATACATGCATATATATATATATATCTGGTTGGTGGTTTGGAACATGAATTCTATGACTCTCCATATATTGGGAATGTCATCATCCCAACTGACGAACTCATATTTTTCAGAGGGGTAGGTATACCACCAACCAGATATTATGTGGACTATACATAGACTACACAAGGGTTTTTACGCGGATAAGTTACTAATGGTTAATAATGCCTTGATACTGGTTAAGAATGGTTGAGAATGGTCAATAATGATTCAAAGACTGCACATTCACTATATAATTTTAAACATTGACTATACAATTATACAATGTTAATGATGGTTTCCGTATCACCAGTAGTACTATGCCTCAATAGGTTGTCAATACTAAGAATGGTTTAGGAAGTTTGGGTTAATCATATATGGTGACTATACTAATGTTGCAAAGGTTCACAATGGCTTACACTGATTTTGTACAAGCACTTGGGGTTTACAACCAAAATGTTGGGTTTAACCAGCAAACGTAGGGGTGTAACATGGTGTAACCATCACAACATAGGTATCATAGGAGTCTCACAAACTTAAATCACCATTAATCACCATTAATCACCATAATCACCATTGTTTCCAGGGTCAAACAAACTAACAATGGTGATTAATGGTGATTAATGGTGATGTTTATCTACAACTATGAATTGATTGTTCGAAGGGATTTAAGCAACCAAACAAGCATGTGCTTGTGATTGGTTGATGTATCTGGGAAAGCTGTAAATCTTGGGATAGCCAAACGGAATAAATGGTGTATACAGGACCATGTGGGCCCCCCTTGCACGAGTTATTTCACCACCAAGTGGGCCCCCAGAGTTGTCTTTTGGTTTTTGTTTACTCCTTCAGTAGATACATCAATTGTAGATCCTGGTCCTAGTTTTTCTCTTTTTTTTCTAAAGGCCAAATGAAAAACTATCAATTACGGGCAGTATATTGTAGTTACTCACAAACATTTATCAATATTAGACCCCTGCTTGCTGAAATAATGCCTCAGACACTACGTATTATATTTTTTCATTTTTGCAACAGATAGGTAAAGTATCAAACTTTAGGTAGGACAATGTAAAGCACTTTGTTTCATGTGGTAACAACAATTCGAGCAACCCAAGCAACGCCCAAAAAGATCGAACTGTGAATTACCAGGATTTTAGAGGTATATGTTCTATATCTATATTTAATGTTCTATGATGTTCAATATTTAATGTTCACTATTTGTGTCACTATCACAGTGAATTGTCACTATTAGTCACTATTGATCACTTGTTATCACTGGTTATCACTAGTTATCGCTATTTTAGTGGGATTTGATTGTTCTATCTTTTTGGGGGTTACTATACAAACAAGGGGAAGAAACATCCGTGACATGATCCAGACATCATGGCAAAGATAAGCCTATGGTTACCAGAAGGGATCTACAGCTGTTGATAAGCCAATCACTGTGAATCAAGGGTTAATTCACTATTTTTGTTGGTTGGCCATGCTTAAATCACCATTAATCACCATCGTTTCCAGGGAACAAATCTTGACACATGGCCATGTTAAGAACCAGCCGGTTCATTGGAAGTTTTCTCTACGTTCATCCAGGCTGGTGCCCTCCATGAATACCATTGTAAACTACTTAAGCCATAGTAATACCATAGTAAACCCATAGTTCATATGGTTGTAGTTCGATATACCTACCAAAAACTCAACAGTTGTTGGAGTTAGATTCACTAACTTAGCGATTTAGCTCACTGCAGCAGCTCACCAACATGCACAGTTAAGGACTTATAACCCAAATTGATGGTTCATGATAACCGTGTTTCATCCCATTTACAACTTAGTTTATACAGTTGTGGCCCGAAATACCACTTATAAGTACTAACGAAACCCCATTTATAAAATGTTTTTTATCCCGTTGAAATAGTCACACCTAATAGCCATGGCCATAGCAACCATTTTTCATGGCTGGTGTCGGGCCTCTGCAGGTACGACTGCAAAAGTGGTCGCAGTACAGTTCCGAGATCTACCACGAGGAGGAGGACGAACTCATGGAAGTCGCCAACCGACGGCTGCTACCGACACCCGAGGGGGTACTGCTGCTCCAACAGATGCTATCTGTGAATGGCCAGGGTTCATGGATAATCATGGGATATCATGGTATACAACGGTTATAATGGTTTTAATTTTATATAAATTATAGTGGTATATAATGGTATGAAAAGGTATATAATGGTATATGATGGTATAAAATGGCTATAATGTGGTTTTAATATCGTGTGTAACTCCAATAGCGTGTGGGGTTCTGGTAATTATATCAATTACTAGGGGCTCTGGTATATCGAACTAATTAGTATGTGTATAAACTAATCATACTGTTCTGGCCCTGTTTGGGCAATTATGGCTATGGGATGAAACACTACTCCTGCAACTGGTTGGTGAAAAGTACCCTCTGGTAATTTGGTACATAGCGAACTGGAAGCCATGGCCCATAGAAATAGTTGATTTACCTAGTAATTGCATGGTGATTTTCCATATGTTAAATTACCAGAGGGTATCACTCGAGGTTAGAAGCCAGTTGTAGCTGTTGGCTGAGAATCATGGGTCCTACAGGATGGTGCCCCAGTGATGTGAATGTTGGTTTATAAGCCCCATGAACTGTTATAAAGGTGGTTTATCAAGGCCATTAAGCATAAGGTTATCTATGGTTATATAGTTATGTATAGTTATTCTATAGTTATCCATAGTTATACCTACCATAAACCATAGAATTCAGCCACTTATGTTCGGCAACTGCATGCTATTTGCGGGCCCCCATCCTGTAATGGATACTACTGGATAAATCACGGTTATACCAGTAGTACCCGCGTGCGGGCGTGCTTTGTGCGAAGCTGTTGCGGTGTTGTTGTCCAAGAACATGACGTGCGCGCGACCCCGGTGCAATGCAACGCCAAGCGAAGACTTTCTTCACACTTCACACGGTACTCTTCACACCCCGCACTTCACACTTCACACTTGCACATCACACCCCACGCTTCATCTCATCTCAAATCCTGTGAGCTCTTCTCACCTCATCTCAGCTCTTCTCATCTCATCCCATCTCTTCTCACATGTCATCTAAGTAAGTTCTTCTCAACTGCTTTCATCTCATTCGAGCACTGATCAACCTTTCTCATCTCCTCGAAGTTCGTCTCAACTCATCTCAGCTGTTCTGGACGCCCGAAATCTCTTACTGTCAGAGAGAAGTCTCTTGCACAACAAAACCATTGGGCGCAGAAACTTTTGCAAACAGAAGCTTGAGACACAGATGCATTTACACAGAAAAGCCTTTACAAAATACTTTGTACTACAAAAAAGCTTGGACAAAGCACTTCCCCCCAGTACTACTTTGTACTACCAACCTTGCACAAAGCACTTCCCAGTACTACTTTGTACTACGAAGCTTGCACAAAGCACTTCCCAGTACTACTTTGTACTACAAAGCTCGCACACAGCTCTTACCAGTACTACTTTGTACTACAAAGCTTGCACAAAGCACGTCCCAGTATTACTTTGTACTACAAGACTTGCACAAAGCACTTCCCAGTACCACTTTGGACTACAATGCTTGCACAAAGTACTCCCCAGTACTACTTTGCACTACAAAGCTTGCACAAGGCACTTCCCAGTACTACTTTGTACCACTAAGCTTGCACAAAGCACGTACCAGTACTACTTCGTACCGAAAAGCTTGCACAAACTACTTCCCAGTACTACTGTGTACTACAAAGCTTGCAAAAAGTACTTCCCAGTGCTGCTTTGTACTTCAAACCTTGCACAAAGTACGTCCCAGTACTACTTTGTACTACAAAGCTTGCACAAACTACTTGCCAGTACTACTGAAGTTACTACTGTGTACTACAAAGCTTGCAAAAAGTAGTTCCCAGTACTACTTTGTACTACAAAGGTTGCACAGAGCACTTCCCAGTACTACTTTGTACTACAAAGCTTGCAAAAAGTACTTCCCAGTACTACTTTGTAATACAAGCTTGCACAAAGTCCTTCCCAGTACTACTTTGTACTACAAAGCTTGCACAAAAGCACTTCCCAGTACTACTTTGCATTACAAAGCTTGCACAGAGCACGTTCCAGTACTACCTGGTACTACAAACCTTGCACAAAGCACTTCCCCCCAGTACTACTTTGTACTACCAACCTTGCACAAAGCACTTTCCAGTACTACTTTGTACTGCAGAGTTTGCACAAAGCACTTCCCAGTACTACTTTGTACTACAAAGCTTGCGCAAAGCACTTCCCATACTGCAGTACTACTTTGTACTACGAAGCTCGCGCAAGCACGTCCCAGTACTACTTTGTACTACAAATCTTGTACAAAGCGCTTCCCAGTACTACTTTGTACTACAAAGTTTGCACAAAGAAAGCTTTTACACACAGCAAGTTCTTTCGCAGAGAAGCTTTTACACACAGCAAGCTTTTCAAACAGAGAAGCTTTTACACACAGAAGCTTTTACACACAACACGCTTTTACACAGAGAAGCTTTTACACACAGCAAGCTTTTACACACAGCAAGCGTTTACACACAGAACGCTTTTACACAGAGTGCTTTTACACATGGCAAGCGTTTACACACCCAGAAGCTTTTGCACAGAGAAGCTTTTACACAGAGAAGCGTTTACACACAGCAAGCTTTTACACACAAAATCTTTTACACGCAGCAAGCTCTTACAGAAAAAAGTTTTTACACAGAGAAGCTTTCTTGTACATAATGAGAAAAGGAATTGCAGCTCCAAAACCGGATGGAAATTGGCGCCAAAGCAAAAAAAAACGATTTTGAAGCACTTTTTAAAATAAATTTACAAGGAAAATCATCAGCGCCAAAACTGAAAAATCTGCTGACAAATCACTGTCGCATCATTGATGCAGCCACTCCAATCCGACGATTTACGATGTCCAGTTGCAAAAGACAATAGTATTGCGCATGCAGCCGCGGCACCAAGCAACCTTGACGCAGCCGCTACAATGCGATCTGCAGACACTGAATTGTGAAACACAATAGAACTACGCGCAACGGCGTCGGAAATTGCAGCTCCAAAAAAGGATGTATCTCGACGCCAAAGCGAAAAAAAGACTATTTCAAATTTTGAAGCACTTTTTAAAAGGAATTTTACAAGGAAAATGACCAGCGCCAAAATTAAGAAAATCTGCTGACAGATCACTGTCGCATCCTTGATGCAGCCACCCCAATACGACGATTTACGATGTCCAGTTGCAAAAGACAATAGTATTGCGCATGCAGCCGCGGCACCAAGCAACCTTGACGCAGCCGCTACAATGCGATCTGCAAACACTGAAGTGCGAAACAGAATAGAACTACGCGCAACGGCGTCGGAAATTGCAGCTCCAAAATCGGATCTCGACGCCAAAGCGAAAAAACGACGATTCACTTTTTAAAAGGAATTTTAAAATGAAAATTGCTAGCGCCAAAATTGATAAAATCTGCTGAGAAATCACTGTCGCAGCCTTGATGCATCCACTCCAATACGATTTACGATGCCCAGCTGCAAAAGAGAATAGTATTACGTATGCAGCCGCGGCGCCAAGCAACCTTGATGCAGCCATTACAATGCATTTCGCAGCATCACGTCGCAAACCTGCACCTACCTACGCACATGGCAACAGAGCATGACAACAATCATGCAGCCATTCCACTGCGATCTGCAACCACAGATTCAAGAAACGCATAGAACTACACACACAGGAACAACCACTCGTTGCAGAACACAGAGGACGAACCAATTTCGTGGCAAACCCGCATGTCTCGACACACATGGCAATAAAACATAACAACAATCATGTAGCTATTCCACTGCGATCTGCAACCGCAGATTCCAAAACACCCTATCACTACGCACGCGCAAGCACACCCAAAGCAGCTTGAAGACACCGCTCCAGTGCAGCAAAAAAAAAGGCAAACCGACCGCAGCCGCAACCGCCGCACGCAGGAGGTTCCTTTCATCGCCGGCTGGAGCCACTTTACATGGAAAAATATAAGGTTTCGTGCTCCGGCTTCCTCCCCATCACAAGCCCCATGCAACATTCATGCAGCCATCACAACTTCATTGAGTGTATTGTTATGTGATGCCAAGTTTCACACCACAGTCTCACATCGCCCTTCATTGAGTGTATTGTTATGTGATGCCAAGTCTCACACCACACAGTCTCACACCACACAGTCTCACACCACGCTTTCTTGAGTGAATTGTTATGTGATGTCACGTCTCACACCACAGTCTCACACCACCCTTCATTGAGTGTATTCTTATGTGATGTAAAGTCTCACACCAAAGTCTCACACCAACCTTCATTGAGTGTATTCTTATGTGATGTCAAGTCTCACACCAAAGTCTCACACCACCCTTCATTGAGTGTATTCTTATGTGATGTAAAGTCTCACACCACCCTTCATTGGGTGTATCGTTGCAGAGGTAAAAGTCATCTGTAACTCGGAAGATTGCTTCCCAACTTCCTTTGATGATGGTGATATAAAACTATCAAGATGCATGGGATAAAACAACGAATGTAGTGGGGATTTGATGGAGGTGTGATGGGGATACAGTAAAGACAGCACAGGGATACTTAAACATGGCTACCGGGTCAGTCTCAGACGGCTACTTCGAGAAGAACCCGAAACAATTTTCGTATACGTTGGAAACTGCTCTTCAGATTAGGCGTCGGTCCATGACTCAGCCGCAAATCCCACATGGCTATGACGCAGCTCCTGAAAATGCGGGAGAGCTGTGGCGACTTCCTGGGTTGTCTCACGTTCCCGGGGTGCGCTCCAGTCGCGCTGGTCAGGATGTTGCAGAATCGAAACGCTGCAATCAATGGTCTCAGGCTTCAATCTGCAGCTGAAGGAATTGAAAGCCGAAATGGTTGAACTGAATGTGAAAATGGAACAGAACCGGGAAACCATGCTTCAGCATGCTTCAGCAGCATGCTCAGATTCAGCAGCGGCTTTCGGAGATGTCCAGCATGTGGCCCCAAGAGCGGTATGGATCTGGGTGGAATGCCAACCATTCATGGTCGAATGTGGAGACCGAGGCCGGCAACGGTAGTGCTTGGAACCGATCTTGGGCACGTGAGGCCCTCTAACTGGAGATAGATACCTAGGGACTCCCTAGGGACCCTAAAATGAGCAGATCATATGCTTCACCAGTATTAAGGCTGAATTTAATATGGCGGGGAAGTGGGAAGGGATTATGTTATGCTATTTTTAGATTTTGATGTGCACCAGATGAATCCACAATTTGGGGAATCTACTGGGAATACGCTTATTGATGTTGCGGCCTCTCAAGCAAATCCACGACAAATCTGGGAAATTTATCATGCTAGGCTGTGACCCTATAAGTTTGTACGTGAACTTAATTTATGTGGTAGCGATCATCTAATCAATCATTTTGGCAAGAAAATATAACCATATACAACCCGAATCCAAACAATATAATTACATATAATTACAATAATCATCATGAATTTAACCATCATAAGCCAATCATTAGATACATGCATAAGCAAAACATACACCAACAATTATGATGCAATCACGATGAGATTCTCCAACATTGGCGCAGCCAGTAAATCCCAGTAAAACTTGGCCCTAGAAGAAGATGAACCATCAAAATCCAGCAATGTCCAGTGATTTCTGGCCATGGCTAGGCCCGGTATAACTGATGATTTCAATGGTGATGAATAGTGATTTATAATGGTTAATAGTGGCTAAACATCTGATTAATGATGGTTATAACTGGTTATTTAAGTATGGAATTAAAAACATGAACCATTTCTATGGGGTGACTTGTTAGCACTTGTAATTGGTATTTCGGACCATAACTTTATTAAATCCCATGAAATGACTAGTCATATCCCATTAAGTGACTATAATCAATGACTAGCTCCATTCATTTATCCCATTCATATCCATGAAAAACCATTCAATTTGAGTAAAACAATGTCATAAACCACCTATTTGGTGTATGAAAAAAAATCCAGTAATGTAATCCATTATATCCTGAGATAGTTTTTTTTCACAATGAGATGCGCAACCCATTAGTTAATCCATCCATGTCGAATCAGCTATTGATAGTCACTAATAATCCCATTGATAGTATCCTTAATCACTAATAATCACCAATATTAATGACTACTAATGACTAATCGAAGGAAGTTTAGAAGTCAAACTTCCGACAGTATGGACAGATGAAAAGCAGAGTAGGGCAGAGGCAGAGAGAAGAGAAAGAGTCAGAAGAAAGAAGATGCAGATGCGCGAAAAGGTAGGAAAGTCGCGAAACACTGTGTTTTTTCCAATGATTTGTGGCTCCGGAGGGTCGAAAAGTAGGCTCGCTAAAGCGGCGGGTGCGGAGCCATCTGGCCAGATGAGAGATGAAAAATTGCACGCCGTTGTGGCTCGAAGCACATTTCGAAGTCAAAATGTACAAAACACATCATTCTCGGACCACTTTTGGAAGTTGAGATGTCGAAAAAGTGCACGCCGGTGTGGCACGAAGCACATTTCGAAGTCAAAATGTACACAACACACCATTGTCGGACAACTTTTGGAAGTTGAGATGTCGAAAAAGTGCACGCCGTTGTGGCGCGAAGCACATTTCGAAATCAAAATGTACAAAACACCTCAGCGTCGGACCACTTTTGGAAGTTGAGATGTCGAAAAAGTGCACGCCGTTGTGGCGCGAAGCACATTTCGAAGTCAAAATGTACAAAACACTGGGGGTTCGGACCACTTTTGGATGTTGAGATGTCGCTTCGCGTGGCAGGCGCAAGGGATGGTACACCTTGTCAAAAGTGAGCAAACCGTGAGGGTTTTGTAGCATTTTCAACTACAACCACCACTACACCACACTACACTCCAATACATTACACTACACTACAACTACAACTACACCTTCACTACATTCTACTACACTACACTGCACTCAATTACACTCAATTACACTACACTACACTACATTACACTACACTACACTACCTTCCACTACACTTCACTACATTACACTATACTACACTCCACAACACTACAACTACAACGACACAACTACACTCCACTAACCTCCACTACACTAAATTGCACTCCACTACACTACATTACACTACACTACACTCCACTACACTACACTACATTACACTACACGACACTACCTTCCACTACACTTCACTACATTACACTACATTACACTACACTACACTCCACTACACTACATTACACTACACGACACTACCTTCCACTGCACTTCACTACATTACACTACACTACACTACATTAAACTGCATGACACTACCTTCCACTACACTTCACTACATCACACTACACTACACTCCACAACACTACAACTACAACTGCACAACTACACTCCACTACACTAAATTACACTACACTACATTACACTACACTACATTCCACCAGAGTACACTACACTACACTTGCACTACACTACACAACCTTCCACTACACTTCACTACATTACACTACACTACACTCCACTACACTACAACTACAGCTACAACTACAACTGCACTCCACTACACTCCATTATACTATATTACACTACGCTACTACATTACACTACATTACACTACATTCCACTACATTCCACTACACTACACTACATTACACTACACTACATTAAACTGAATGTTACTGCACCACAGGTAGATAGGTTGACAGATACACAGATAGATAGATAGATAGATAAATAGATAGACAGATAGACAGATAGACAGATAGACAGATAGACAGATAGACAGGTAGACAGATAGATAGGTAGATAGGTTGATAGGTTGATAGATAGATAGATAGCTAGCTAGCTAGCTAGCTAGATAGATAGATAGATAAGGAGATAGATAGACAGACAGACAGATAGATAGATAGATAGGTAGACAGATAGATCAATAGGTAGGTAGGTAGATAACCAGAGAAAGATAGAGAAACAGAGAGGAAAAGAGAGAAAGAGAGAGAAAGAGAGGAGACCTCAAGCACCTTTCAGTCCATCAGTGGCTTCGCTCTGCCATCCCTGATTCACAACAACCAACCTCTCCTATAGGTTTCCTATTTTTGAAACTTCCGCCACCGCCTTGTGCGGTACTACTGGTAAGTAGTATTAATCAATCTGTACCATCCATATTAAATCCCAAACAAAATGGCTATTTATATCCCATGAAAAGTACCATCCCATCTCAGGATGTCGAGCCTTAGCTGCGTCCCTTGGTTCAGCAATGACCTGAAGCAACTGCTGAAGCGCAACAGCGACTTCTCGGCCGCGGAGTACGTGGACGCTCGGCGTTTTTGGCCTTTGGCCTTTTGTTTTGCCCGGATCTGGAAGTCGCCAACGAAGTTTATGCATTGACTTTTTAGGGCTGGGAGGTTATATTGGTTATACCAACGGTGATGGATTTATTGTTTTTTTTGGGGGGGAGGTTATGCCAAAGTGATGGATGTTTTGTTATTAGATCAACTATAAGTAGTATTTATATACAATGTGGGCCCCCCATTGATGTTTGTTGGTTTATAAACCATTATAATCCCCATGAATACTACAGGCAGGGGTACCATAAACCATAGTTATTGGAGTTAGAAACCAACTTGGCTATCGTTTGGGGGCCCCACTTTGTAGGGTTTATGATTTGGTTAAAAATCACAATCTCCATTCCTGATGCTTGGATCCGACAATTTTGCTCGTTAGAGATAAGTGTCCATGGTTCAATCCAACATATGTATCTCATGTATAACCCCATTAAAGAGTCCCATTGTTCATGGTGAAATCCCATATATCTTCCTAGTTATAACCACCCCATAAGAGGTACAGGATGGTCCTGGGTCAAGCCGGCGGACTTTCCGAAAGACGGAGATGGCCTTGCACAGGCAGATCATCTCGAATTGGCTTGCTACCTGGAGGAACTTGACGCATTTGTCAGGACGTCCACTTCGCACTCGCCTGCTTGCTCACTACCATGCAAGACAGCCTGCATCATTGTTGCATATCCGTTGCCCGCCAGTTATACGTTGGTTTATAAATCCCATTTGCCATAACGAGCCCCGTCCGAACCCGAAGTCGAACCTCCCCCACCCCCCCCTCAAAAAAAAAGCGTTTGCTGGGATGATGCACCGGGCTTTGTACAGAAATTGCTCGGAACGACCACCGAACCCGAAGTCGAACCTCCCCAGCCCCCCTCGACAAAAAAAACAGTTTGATGGGATGATGCACCGGGATTTGTGCAGATATTGCTCGCAATGACCACCGAACCCGAAGCCGAACCCGAAGTCGAACCTCCCCAACCCCCCTCGACAAAAAAAAACAGTTTGATGGGATGATGCACCAGGATTTGTGCAGATATTGCTCGCAATGACCACCGAACCCGAAGCCGAACCCGAAGTCGAACCTCCCCAACCCCCCTTGGACTAAAAAAAGCAGTTTGATGGGATGATGCACCAGCATTTGTGCAGATATTGCTCGCAATGACCACCGAACCCGAAGCCGAACCCGAAGTCGAACCTCCCCAACCCCCCATGGACCAAAAAAAACAGTTTGATGGGATGATTTGTGCAGATATTGCTCGCAATGACCACCGAACCCGAAGCCGAACCCGAAGTCGAACCTCCCCAACCCCCCATCGACCAAAAAAAACAGTTTGATGGGATGATGCACCAGGATTTGTGCAGATATTGC